GGGTCTCACAGGATCCCCTTCATCAGGCAAACAAGTGATGAAGTGATCACTTGTTTGCCTGATGAAGGGGATCCTGTGAGACCCCGAAACGTTGTATAAAGTGTTCTACTTGCAACTAGTACGTCAATAAACACGTAATGAACTTGCTTTGGAGTGCCGGTGTCCATCCTTTCTCGCATGAGATGTCATGCGGTCACACTATGCACCGTACGGCAGGGGCAGAGCAACAGTATGCAATGCATAGTGAACAGAATGGCGCCGCGGCTCAGGGGGCAGCTGCTTTGTGCCGCACGACAATAACTGTGCCCTGGTCACCTGCCCATTTTGCCCCGCGTTAAAGACGGCCCTGACAGCAGCTATACTCCGTTACCTAATAATGCCACACGGGTCAATGGGCTTTGGACTTGTGTGCATGACTTCTGTTTGGCATCAGTTTGAGTTGCATCTGAGATCAATCAGAATTCATTGACAGGGGCATTTGACCTTCAGCTGACCTCCTTATGACCCCCATCAAACGGGTTTTGCGTTCCCTTAGATGTTAAACCCATTTGACGCCAAAAACAAAAAGCCCATCAACACAGGCCCTTACGGTGTTTTTTGGGTGGTTTTTAAGTGATGAGCTTTAAATAACACCTACCAACTCTCTGAGATGAGAAAGAGGGGCATCTTCCAGCACCTGGTATTTAGGCAATGGACACACCCCTGCCACGCCCCCCAGTTATGTGGACCATGAATAAATGATTGGTTAAACCCAGAATTCATTTTTTCACCATTACATTTCCTTTATACCGAGTTTTCCCAAATAGCAAACACGATACATAAGAGAGAAGATAAAGGACTTTTGGTAGGTAAATAGAACCTTTTCCTAGATATCTGTATACCAGACCAAAAAGAGGGACAACTGAGGAGGAAAGAGGGATGGAGGGATTTGGTGGCAAATCAGGGACAGTTGGGAGGTATGGCTGCTGAGGGTAACAGTAGACCCTTTCAGCTATCCTTGCCCTGTTCTTGGCCCCAAAAATGTACCCTTCATTAACCTTTAATGAATACTGTGACGGACTGAACCGTCACCAGGGCTGCTGGAGGAGCCTGAGGGCTAGCCTCCTTCCTACAGACCACGGACCTAGGGCTGCAGAGATGTATTACCCCAGAGAACGTTGTGTGCGGTGTGTGTTTCCAGTTTAATATTTTATCTAGAGAGAGAACTTGTCACTATTTGATGTGAACCATTCTTCTAAAGGCAGCAGGCTGCCTGGAGTGACCATTGTTTGCAATGATGGGATTAAGCTCCTCTCTAATTAAGGACATTCATCCCAAAGAGTGTCTGTGCTTAAAAGACTTCCAATGCGGCACCTAGCTGTCTGGGGGAGGGGACACACTGAACTCTAATCTGATCCTGTCAGGTATAAACTCTGTGCGCTTCCTTCAATAAAGTCAGATCTTGGTTTCCACTTCAACATTGGTGTTGTCTAATGCTTGAGTGGTTTAGCGTTCTGTCCTAATATATTGGTTCTGTCCAATAGTTAGGCAGGTTTGGGCTGATGACGCTGGGATTCGGGTTCCAGCGGAGAGGAAGCTGATTTCTGACGGAGGTACCCAGTCGGGGTACCAGGCGGTCCGTCACAAATACATCTTCCAAAAAAACACTCTCCCTAGATAGAGATAAAAAGAGTAGTGGAGTCTTGTTCTGGGTTGGCCAGGCTGATTAACCTCTTGCCGTCCGCCCGTAGTAAAAAAACGGACGGACGGCACTGCAGCATCTGCGGGTTGCCGTCTCCAGACGGCACGCACGGGCGGGCACGCATGGGCAGAAAAGACCCGATCAATGCACACACCCGGTACCGGGTGTCACACATATAGGCGATCAGCGGGTCCATTAATATAGGGGAAACTGTTTTTTTTTTTTTAAATTTCGGTAATTTTTCCTTAATATAGTAAAAAAATAAAAACCCCCAGTGGTGAATAAATACCACCAAAATAAAGCTCTATCTGTCCCCAAAAAAGGGTATAAAATTCATTTCAGTACAGCGCTGCATGACGGAATAAATGTCAGTTAAAGTACCTCAGCGCTGAACACTGAAAAATGGCCGGGATGGGAAGGGGGTTTAACACCGCGGATGTCAACTGGTTAAAGCAGAAAGTTTGGCGTTAAAGATGCAAGATTTCAGGACTTCCTGAAGATACAGCCTGGGTCCTTTATTCCATAGCGTGATTGTTGATGCAATGTTCTGTCATTCTGGACCTGATGAAGGGGACCCTGCAAGGCCTTGAAAGCGCTTGCATTGATGACGTTCTGAGTCATTAAAAGGACTGATTTCACCTTATATTGGAGTGCTGGTGACATTCTTTGTTGTCTTTGTTATTCCATAGACGGACCCAGGCTGGCTGAATCTTTTTTTACATCCTCCATCTTTGGGTTATGGTCCCTTCCTCAGGCTTTGAACAGTGGACCTGAGGAGTCCCGAAAAGGTTGCATCTTCAATAGTTTGTTAGCCAATAAAAGGTGTCACCTAAACTCCAAACTTTCTAAAATATAGAAAGAAAAGTAGATTCTTGTCTAAGCAGCTTTGGAAGAACATTGAGAGTTTCCGCTTCAATGAAATCTCGCCAATGATGAAATCCATAATTCTGCAGCGGAATCAATTCTTCCCAAATTACTTGTCCCTATTACTGATTATTATTATACGGGATTTATAGAGCGCCAACAGTTTGCGCAGTGCTTTACAATATAAGGAAGACATTACAATCACAATACAATACAAGACAAGATGATAAGGAGGGCCCTGTCCATGAGGGCTTACAATCTAAAAGGGAGGGGCCAGTGATACATGAGGAGGGAGCTGCGTGGGGATGAATTGTTTGAGAATGTGATGGTTGAGCGGTTAGGTTGAGGTGGGATCGGCTTCCCTGAAGAGATGAGTCTTAAGGGATCGCCTAAAGGCAGTCAAGGTGGGAGATAGATGGACAGGTTGGGGTAAAGAGTTCCAGAGGATGGGAGAGACTCTACTGAAGTCCTGGAGTCGAGTATGGGAGGAGTTGACGAGGGAGCTGGAAAGCAGGAGGTCTTGGGAGGAGCAGAGGGGACGGTTAGGGTGATATTTTGAGACCAGGTTTGAGATATAGCCGGGGGCGGAGTTGTAAATGGCTTTGTAACTGATTGTTAATATTTTTAATTTTATTCTTTGGGCGAGTGGAAGCCAGTGGAGGGATTGACAGAGGGGGGTTGCAGACACTGAGCGGTTGGTTAGGTGAATGAGTCTGGCAGCTGCATTCATGATGAACTGAAGGGGGAGGAGCCTGTGTAGAGGTTGGCCAATGAGGAGGGAGTTGCAATAGTCGAGACGAGAGATAACAAGGGAATGGATGAGTGCTGATTGGATTACACCGGTTCTGTGACTTATTAAAAACAGGAAAGGTTCTGATTACAACGTTTTATACAAGTTGCATAACATAGATATGT